TGAATTAAGAAGTTGGAAGGCTGGGAAATATCTTGAAATTCCAACTAATTAATACTAGAAAACCCTTTAAAAAGCATTTTCTCTGGTCTTTGCATTTTTACAGTGGGGAATATGTCTTGGTAAGGGACTGCTATTGGGCTGATATTACTGATGAAGTCAGTGGTCAAGCAGGACTGGAACAAAGAACCTTGTTTGGGGGATAAACTAGCCACAGCTTTCCACTTATATACCTTGGAGTCATTGTGTGAAGCTTGGAGGAGATTGTGGAGATTCAGGACATAAGATCTGTGTAGTGACCATTGTAACGGGAGTTGGTTATTGAATTTATAGACATGAACCACTCCAGTTGGCTAAGTTGAGCTAAGCTCCATTCCAGTTCTACAAAGGAAGACATCCTTATTTTCATTTCCTAATATGGCTGCTAAAACTGAGGGTAAGTGACATGGTGAATAAAAACGTACCAGGAAGTAGCCAGCCAGGGTCTCAGGCCACCACTTGCCTGGTGCCCTCTGGAGGATATCACAGCATTTCCCTCTCCTGAACAAAAAAGCCACACTCTTTAGGAAAACCATGCAGCAAAGGCTGGGGATAGAAACAGAACAAAGGTGCATTAGTTCCAGGCCCCAGGGACAATAGGGAATTTTCATTTCTCAAGGTTAAAAGAAACCCAGAGGGCAATGGTTCTCCATCCTTCCAGTTCCAATGTGCCAGTATTTTAGTACAACTATTTAAAAATACCTCTTTTTCCTGTGGAAATGAAATTTATGAATATACCTACACAATGGCTTTTAAAATTAACTATTGCCCCAGTTGTAAGGAGAAAGAAATACAAGGAAAGTAGTTTGAAATAAAATAATGTATAATCTGGTCAGTTAATGCTTGTGTAGAATACCATTTGTAGATAGAATACAGTCAAAAAGCTCACACTTGCCTGTTGAGTAAAAGTGACAGGATAAAAACAGAGAGGGGACAGATGCGTGTGTGGCCTTTATATCCCAACTATAGGGTTGGGTCATCCTTTCCCATTTTATTGGTAGGAACAATTTATTGAGGCACAAGGAGAGAAAGAAACTGACCCCAGAGCACCAAGTTCATTCTGCACCACCCCTGTGTTCTAAAGCTACTGTGCTTCCCACAGCACACAAAGGTGGCAGTGTCCCAGACCCTTGGCCTTCAGATCAGAGCCTCTGCCTACTGAGCCCAGACATACTCTGGCACACCCCATTCGTCTGCCAATGGGAGCCCAGCTACCATGGCTGTGTCCTGCTGGCTTGTCTCTGCCTCCTATAGGTGCAGTGATAATAGACAATATAGGTGATAGCCCTCATATTCCACCTGCTATCTCTAAAAGCTCATGACAACCTGTGCCAAAGTGCTTTTTATAAACATCAGTGTAAAGAGGAGGAAAATGAGGCTGACAGGGAGGAGACACAATTTACCAGCAAAGCTAGGGTCAAGTTCTAGGGCTCTTGATGATCAGCCCAAGACCCTGACTTGGCCTGTAGGGACCTTAGGGCAGGAATGAAGGGTGAGGAGCTGCTCTGCCACATTCAGGAACCTGGCCAGTCCTCAGAGATATTTGGGTTTCAAGTCTCCTGATCAGAGGAGGCTCTTGGCTTGGAGAACCCTCTATCTAGCAGCTCACCATCTGGACTTCTCATCTTTGGCCCATTCCGTGCAGTGAGTTGGAGGTGAGACTTCCCTGACCTGAGGAGACCCAGCTGTGTCCTGACTCCAGTCAGCTGAGTTTCTATCTCCCTACCTAAGCCCCTTCTGAATGCCTGCTCTGGTTCTTTTTCTCCTTAGCCTTGGCTTTCTTTCCTCTGTCAGTTCCTTCTCCATCCTTACACCCTGTCTATCCATATATTATGCATTTTCTTTCTCTTTTTCCTGTTCTCCTGTGTATTCTTTTTCCCCTGCCTTTGGTGACAATCCTATGTTCCCCCCTCTTTTTCTCGGGTTGTGTCCATCTTCCCAAAGTTTCAGGGAAAACAAAATGAATGACACCAAGAAGGGATAAGGGATATATGGAGATCCTTAGTCTCCAGCCCTTCCTTACCTGGAACTTTTCCTTCCTTCCTTCCTTCCTTCCTTCTTTCCTTCCTTCCTTCCTTCCTTCCTTCCTTCCTTCCTTCCTTCCTTCCTTCCTTCCTTCCTTCCTTCCTTCCTTCCTTCCTTCTTGTGTGTGTGTGTGTGTGTGTGTGTGGCTGATCAGAGAAAAAGAAATGGAACATTAGAAAAATGAAAACACAAGAACTGTTTGGCAAGCCCAGAACCAACAGGCATAAAAGGGGATTTTATGAAAAGTTTATGAAAATAATTTTACTTTATGATGCCATAACAGTGGCCAAGCCATTTGCCTGGCTCTGGCAGAGGAAGCAGCAGCTGGAGCCCACGCCCTGTGACTACGCCTCCCTCTACAAGCCCTGCTGTGGCAGCCCTGGAAGGGAATGACCAGGGAGGTGGGGCACTTGCCTGGCTAAGAGAACCTCAAAACTCCTCCAGCCCAAGCTGGCAGGTCTAAACTTATTATTCCCATATGCCCATAGCCTAGAGGTGGGCAGGACATTCCAACTCAAATTCCTGTCGAAGGTCATCTTGGACACTCAGATCCACAGCTGGGGCCTAAAGCTCTTCCTGTGGCAGAACTTAAACCTCTGCCTCCCATGACCACTTGGGCATGAAAATCAGCACCCAGTCCCAGATCTTCAGCAATGGAGATCTGATAGAGATGGCTGGGCAGGGGAGAGCTCAGGTTCCTATGGACATGTTCAAGTTCCCTTGGTTCCTCTCCATCTTCAAAGCTCCTCGTGTATTGCTATTGTTTGGTGGTTCTCCTCCTTTTCTTCCTCCTCTGGGTTTTGGGATTGAATATATATGCTAAGGAAAATGCTCTAGCCACAGAGCAGGCCAGGACCCAGCCAGGACTGGAAGCCAAGGCCAATCTCCTCCCTAGTATTATTTACATCAGAAGCTCATCTGCTATAGGACACTGTTGATAGAGCTGTTGTAGAACCCAAAGTTCTAGGCGAGAAGGAGAATTTCCCAGTGGACATGGGATAATGGACAAGGGTGAGGACACGGGAGGAATGAAAGATCAGCAAAGAGAAGAGACAGAGATAGACAGTGATGGACAGCCTAGAGTGTAGCTCCTTTCGCCATGAACAGGTTCCAACTACAACGGGAATCCTCTGTCACTATTTACTGATGCCACTCCTGGATGCTCTCATGGGGAATGTGAGCACAGAGCAAGCTCCCACTATCTTGGCTCACTATCTTGGGCCTCAGATGAGTCCAGAGTTCAGCCCCCTGGCCTGAGAAATGTGGGTACTAATGCCTTCCTTGCCCACCACATCCATAACCCATCCACAAGAGCACAGAAAAGCTGGTTGAAAGCCAAGAGGTTTGGGTTGGGACATGACTACTGGGGCTCCTATCCTAGCTCCAGCATTGGCAATCTGCTTCACAGTCATGTGTCTTAACCTTCCTGCACAGCTATACTTCATCAGTAAATGGGAGATGAGGGATAGCAGTTATGAGAATTAAATGGTTCTTGAACTAAATGTTTAGCACATTGTTTGAGATGGCATACATGCTCAGCAGATTTTAGCTTCTAGTTGCAGTGTTATAATACCATTGTCTCAAAATTCCTGGGGACCACACACAATCCTGAGTGTTCCTAATGGGAGCCAGCAGAATTGACCAACTATGGCCAGTGAAGTATTTCTAGGGCTTTCGAAACACAGAGACCTTCCTTATACTCCAAACTCTTCAATGATCTGTTCTCTCCCTCCAAGCTTCAGTAGAGCTTGTAGCTCAGACATCTTATGTCAGTCCTGGAGCACATCACAATATATGTTGTAGTATGATATGAATGATATAGGGCATCTTATCTCATGTCCTATACTCACTTCTTTCCTTTCTTCCTCATGTGCTCCATGATTCTTCCATGAGTACCAACTACATATAGCATCTCTCTGGCAGGTATATGTTTGGGAGTGATAACAGAGATGCGTGGTGACCGTGCTGTCCTGGGGAGCTGAGGGGATGGATGAGCACACGTAGATAATCACAGCCAGTCAATCTGCAATGAATAGGCAGTGGTGGGAACAGAAAGGAGGCGGAGCCACAGCAGCCTGGGGAGTTGGGGAGGCTTCGTGGAGCAGACATTGTGGAAGCCAGATCATGTAGGATGTTCAGGTGTATAGATTTGGAAAGCCTTGCAGCAAGAGGGAAAAGCATGGGACAAGGAAGTAGGGCGATTGAGAAACATTGGCAATGGCTCAGGAATACTACACCCTAGGAGAGGGACTTGTGAGGGGTGACTGAGATACTGGGTAACAGGGGTCAGGGGTCAGATTGCTAGTGGACTATGTATGACCTTTGTTAACAACAGCATGGAGGAGACATTGAAGAATTTTCAAAGTGGGGAGTGATGTGGTCCTTTTTATGGCCTGAGGAGCTCCTTTTGGCTGTAGAGGAAAGAGCAGATCGAAGGGGACACAGGGATGGGTGGCAGTAGTCCTCACAAGGGCCTGGAGCAGAAGGGAAGCAAAAGGAGGGGAAATGTGGATAGAATCTATAAGGAGTAGTCACGGGTCCTGTTGAATTAGGAGCTGAGGGAAAGGGAGCGCCTCCCCCCACACTGGGGGAACCCCAGGTCCTTATTCTGTGTATATGGCCCAGCATGGCTCCTGCTCTATACCTGTAGGCCACTCCCTTGGCTGATGAGGACTGTCCACACCTTCCTAAGTCCAAGGCTTCTCCAGCCACCAGGTCTGCTCAAGCCAAAGTGTGTATGTGGAAAATGGGCCTGTTCCACACCTTTCTAAGTCCAAGGCTTCTCCAGCCACCAGGTCTGTTCAAGCCAAAGTGTGTTCCAGTCATCGGTGCCAGTGCCACAGGCTCTGGCGCTCAGCACAGGCCATTTCTCCAAACATGCTCCAGCAGGAGGCGTGTGGTGTGGGTGGGGAGCTATCAGCACGCAGAAACACCAAGCGTCCAGTTCATTATGTGTTTTATTAATATATTATGCTACAAAAATATTTTTGGCAAAATAACATTAATAGCATCTTTCTTTGTCTTCTATTATACTCTTAAAAGAACTCTTCATGACAATTCACAGCGGTGAGGGAAATCGTGATTAAGAACAATACCATGAGAACCTTCCAAGTACAGTGAGAGTTGAAGCATGTGTGTACAGTAGGGGAGCTGAGCCATCTGCAATCCCTGTGAAGCTCAGGTAGGGGCAGTGGCCTGGGCTACTTTGGGCTGAATCCTTCTTTGACCACCTCAGTCATTAGGGACCCAAGAAGTCTGAGTAGCACTTATCTCTGGAAGCTCAAGAAAGGCATCTTAGAGTTGGATCCTATTCGAAACCAATTTTCCTAAAGCACAACTTGGGGATGGAAGGGATTCCCCCAAGGCATGCTGGTCTCCCACCTTTTCTTCCTGTCACCTATTCCCAGCCCATGGCAGCCTGGAGTCCTGGAAGGAAAAGTAAGCCCTGAGCCTGAGATGGGATGGACCTTCACCTTCGTGGAGCCTTGAGATTTGGCCTCCACCCACAGTCCCAAGAAAGAGCGTCTCCATGTGGCAGGTAAGGAAATGGAAGCTCAGAAAGTGGCAGGGACTCGCTCAAGGTCACCTAGCAAAGCAAAACCGTATCCGGAGTATCTCCAGAGAGAAATAATCCTTGTAGAAGGGGGTGGAAGAAACTGTCTGGAAAAAAAACAGGAAGGGATCCAGTTCTCTCTTTTTCTTCTTTCTGTGTTTAGAGGGCAGAGAGAGAAAGCAGCTTTGGGCTAGGACTGGGGCTGAGGCCTGGGTTCTAGTCCAGCCCTCCCTGCCTCCCAAGGTCATCCTGCACAAGGGCGGTAGGCAGCCCTGGCTGGTTCATAGCAAGCCAGGCTGGGCTGTTGAAGAATGTGGAAGAGAGGGGTGAGGGGAGGCTGGATGGCTTCCCAAACCCTACTGGTTTAGACAGCCATCTGGGGCGATACTTTTGGCTGCTTAAATGAACATTTGAAAAAATAAAACAAACCAATAACAATGTTCAAAGAACCTGAGCTGTACAGAGCCACGAGGCACTTCAGTCATTTACATCAGTCCCTTGCCAACATTCCAGCTGGCTACCAAATCTCTAGCTAGTGGGCCTCTTGGCCCTGCCAGACACCTCCACTGACCTGGCCCCAGGGCACCAGCTCAGCTTGGTGGAAGTTATTCTATTACAGAACTATGGTTTTTTCTTTTTATCTCCAGTTCTTTAAACTTCCATTCCTTAGTTCCTTCCTCTCTCTGCTTCCTTCCCTCTTCCTTTCCCTCTCTAGACATCGATTGAGCAGTACCTTTGTGTCAGATGAGGATACAAAGGCCACTCACAAGATCCCCACCATCCAGTCACTCATAGATCCATAGGGGAGAAGATTCACAATGACAGCACTGCCAGTGAATATGGTGACCGATTCAGAGAAAGCACAAAAAGCTTAGGGGGCTTTCTGGAGAAGATGCCCACGTCTGAGTTGTTAGGGAAAGAGAAGGGAGATTCAGGTCTAGGAAGCAATAGGTGTAAAACATTCCTTCTATTCTAGAAATTACAATTCCCTTCAGCCAGGCTCAGAGTGGGAGAGACGAGATGTGTCTGGCAGGGTTAGCTGGGTGGAATCACGGAGGGTTTAGAATGGCAGAAGAAGGGCTCTGGTCTTATCTCACAGAAGTACTATCCCCACTTCAATTCCATTCCTGTATACAAGAGACCATCAAAGCTTACAAATGCCTAGCAGAACTAATCTTTTAGAAATAGGCTTTCCTTTTAGAAGAAGGAGTCCCCTCCCACCTCATTATTGGACTTGTCATGACAATGACCATTGGGCTGGAGTCTGGGCAGGTAGGACAAGCGGTGTGAATGCCTAGAGTTGCTCTAGTCTAGATGAGGCAAGGAATTCATAGGTGACAAACTGAGTGTAAGGGCAGGTGCGTCCAGCCAGCCCAGGGTTCCATGCAGTGTAGATTGTAGGTCTTTGACCTTGGGATTGGGGGTACCACCCTACCTTCACTTGATTGCTTGTACAGCAGGCCAGCCACTGGAGGAGCCATGGCCATTATGATTTGTTCCAGAAAGGACTTCAAGCATACTATGAGCTTTCCTGAGAGAGACGGGGGTTCTGAAGCTACCATTAGCATGTTGCCTACCTTTAGGCAGGTCATTTCATCTGCTGGGCCTTGAGCCTTCCATCTTTCCTGCCTGGTTCAAGTCAAACATGGATGTTCTAAGAAAGTACCGACAAAGCTCTCCAAGGAATGGTAGGCACAAGAACATTCCAAAGGTCGAGTGGCTGCTTGTGGAATGGTAGTTCTCTGGCACAGAATGAGAAATTCAAGCACCCTCGTCACGCAGATTCCTATTTATATGCCTCAGATCTCCTGGGATGTTAAGTTGAATCCATCTCAAATACTGGGCAGCTAGTGGTCCTCAGGGACCAGTGAACTACGGCTCCAGATGGCTGACCCACATTGGCTCCGACTCCCTTCTCTACACGTCCACCCAATCTGTTGGTCTGTCACTCTTTTCTTTCCTTTCTTTTTTGATACAGGGTCTCATTAGTAGCCCAGGATGGTCTGGGCCTTGTAAGCCTCCTGCCTCAGCCTCTTGAGTTACTGGGATTAGAGGAAGAAACTTGGACTTTCCATCTCTAAATCTTTCTAGAGGACAGATCTGGAAAAATGAGCAGTCTGAACTGAGCAGTCAGAGGCCAGGACACATATAAACTAGGACAGGGCTGTTTGTGCCACCTTGATAGTTTCTCCAGCCCATGTGCAGTAAGCCTGGCACAGTGTATGCAAAGTAATTACATGCTGCATTAATTTATACTTTTGGCCTCGTGCCTGGCACAGATCTGGGCACATGGTCAGGTGCTTGGACTGTTTCCCTAAATGCTTCATCTTTAATTAACCTCAAGCTAGATCTTCATACATCTCATGCCATGCACTGCCCCAAACCAAGGGGGAATCTGGCCTGTGTGTTTCTAATTCCTTTACACTTATCTCATCCCAATAGTGCTCTGCACGATCTGTTTGATGTCCAACTTCTGAGCCTGCTTTATAAGTCAGCTAAGCCCTTTCCCGTTCAGAAATAGGAAGTCACATATTTTTTTTTCCTCCCAAGAATAAACTGACTCCAGGCCTGGCTGAGGTCAAGTTCAGTTTAGCGTACGGTGCCCATGGGGCTGACTAGACCCTCTCCAGCAGAGCTCTAGCCTCTTGCCAGGTCTCAGGCTCAAACCTGTTCCTTGAGGCTGAGCTGGAAAGAATTCAGTTGTCTGCCAGAATGCCCATGGGAACTTCTGGACCATCCAATGAACATCTCAAAATTCTACCATCTCAAAAAGGAAGCAGGTGCTTCAAGGTAGGCTTAATGGCACTGGGGCCCTCCTGGGTCCTCTATCTCCTCAGCTACCAGCTAGATACACCTCTGAATCTCACCTGCCTACCTGCCCCCTCTGGTTGCTCTATCTCCTGGAGGCTCAATAGCTATGTTTCTACCCCTAGCCTCTGATTTAATAGTGAAGGCTCCCATTAGGCTCTAAGATGTGACAAGTTGTGGGCAGAGACAAATAACACATGCTGTTGCCAGAGCTCTTGGCCACGGGGACCAAGAGGAAGAGTAGTTGGTCATATAGTCTCTGTAGTTGGCAGGGAAAGCCCAGATACCAGTCTGGATGAGAGCCGCCTCCCTTAGAGCTTCCTCGGGGCACAGAGAACACGGCAGAACACAGACCACAGGACAAATATCACTTTTCATGTCACACTGTGAAACAGGGACTATTCTAACTCACAGCACTTGTGTGAGAATCTGTGATGGAGGAGGTGCATGAAATACCTGCTACACTGCTGACTTTGGACAAATGGCTATTGTTCCCATTTTTACCACAAAAGGTGACTCCTAACAGTCCTGTCCCTAAAGTTGCCTCTGTGCCCATCCTTGTCCTTTGGTCCAGCTTGCTTCACTCAGCTATGACTTTAACAGTCCCTCTTAAACCCAAGCTGGGCCAGTGGCAGTGACAGGAACAGAGGCGCCTAGGCTCACTCTCCCACATGCTTTGTGACTTGAGCAGTCTTTCTTGCTCTCTTTGGATCTCAGTGTAACCATCTGTCCATACGACTGGGGTCTCTTTCCTCAGCTCTAGCATCCCTCATCCTCAGCCCCCAATTTGGCTGTAAGACTCACTCAGAGATCCGGAGGGCCAGTCTACAGACACTCAAGGTTTCAAAGTAGCAGCATTCTCTTTCCTAAAGCATCTTCCTGGACCCCAGATATATCTGGGGAGGGGAGGATGGTCAGCATCCATGCCTTCCTTGAGCCTTCAAATACAGCTTCACAAAAGCTAAGCTGGCCCTCTGAGATCCCCACAGTGGGAGAAGCCAATTCCAACCTGGGACATTCCCAGGATCCATAAGCAAGACAGTATAAAGCCATGATCATGGGTCAGAGGTCACAGATGTCTTGGCAACCTAAGATTCCCTCCTAGGTTGGCATTGGGGCTAATTCAGGGATTACAACATAGGTCACATAAAAATAGTTTTATCAGTAGAATAAATACATTGTTCTTTTTTAATATGGACACATATTTTACAAAAGAGCCCCATAGCACTATGGGAAATTAAGACCTTCTACAAAAAAGAAGATGTAATTTGGATACAATAAAGCTCTAGTGTACTAGCGGTCCTGTGTGGACTGCCTCGAGGTGTCAGGTACCCCCCAAAGGTGGCAGCAGGGGCAATAGATGTGGCTGCAGACCCACTGTGGTTTCTCTGGCTCCTCTGAAGTGGTGGCCGAGGTCAGGAGGGCCCGAGGGTATGCAACAGGAAGGGGGCAGCAATAGTTACGGTGATTGCAGAGAGGAGGCCCAGGGTAGGTGCTGAGTTGCTGGCAGGCCCCAAAGAGTCCTGCTTCTGGAGCTGGTCTGAGAACTGGAAGAGGGGCTTGGCAGTTTCAGAGCTGGGAGTGGGCTGGAGAGGCAGTGGAGGTGGTGAGATGGTGGTGCTGGAAGGGAAGAAACACAGGGCAGAGTGACTGTCAGAAGTCTGGTCCTGGGCAGAGGCCTTTGGTGCTCAGATCTGTCTTTATGAAAAGAAGGAAACAAAGGGATTGGATGAGGAGGATGAGCAGCCCAGGGGCACCACAGGCAGTCCAGCCAAACTCCTGTGTTGCAGTCCAGAGAGAGGGCAGAAAGAATTACAGGGCTGGGGGTTCTCAGGCACTCAGCTCCCACACCTGTGACAGGTGTGCCCTCTGCTGTTTCCCATCCCAGGCTGCTAACAGAACAACAGAAACTACAACACCACCATCATTTTTTAATGTAGCATCAACATAACCAGCAGATGCCAAAATGAGCATCCCCAGATCCAGTACTTCACAAATACTGTTCTTGTCCTCACAACAAACTTTCAAAATTGGTCTCATTGCTCCCTTTCAGCAGATGAGAAAATATATATGTTCACACAGTCTACCTGGCGTCCAGCTCACAGAGGAAAGTGGGCTGGTAGGTTCATGGGGTATGAGCCCTATGTGGGGTGTGTTAGTGAGAGGTGCCATCCTTCATGAACCAATGAACGGGCCCAAGTGGGCCCAGGCCCAGGAAAGAGACAGAAATAGATGAGCAAAAAGAGAGGCAAGGGTTGGGGAGCAGGGGCAATGACAGTAAGATGAAAGGGGCTACAAAGATGTCTAGTCGACCTGTGGACATGAGGGACAAGCTCCGAGATGAAGAAAGAGGCTGGGACCTCAAGAAGTGGCCAATCTACAGGGAGCTCCAACAGGTAGAAGGTTGATGGAGCTGCAGGCAGAAGATTCAGTGAACTCTGTCATAACCAAAGGGAAATGCAAGAGCAGCAAACACGGGGATGGGCACTGGAGAGGCTTCGAAGAGAAAGGGTCTATACAGAGAAGATTCACATGTGGACAGGTACTGCTAGCAGGTGAAGGAACCCCTCACAACTTCACCTGTGCTGCCTCTGGGAAAGCACTTGTCATACACTAGCCTTTAGTCCTCAGGAGCCATTGTTACCCAAGTACTTAAGAGGCACAGAGCTTAAGTAACCTTCCCCAGGCCAGGACATACAGGGTAGTTATTGCAGGTGAGCAAGTAGAGGCTGCTACTCTTGGGCCTAGTGGACATGAAGTAGGGCAATGTCTATGGGCTAGGCAGCCCGTGGTGATCTCCTCCATGTAGGGCACTGCTAAGTTCCTGATGTATGCTCCCATCCCCAATGCACTGTTCACTAACAAGGCCATCTGGGGCTACCTAGTCTACAATTCTCTGGGCTGGCCCATAAGGTCACACAACAGGCCATAATCACCATAGTGAGGGCTGGGATCATCCACACCATCTTGGAGGATACCTGTACACAGCTCAGGTTAGCCTCAGTCAGGTGGTTAGGTGGGTGCAAGATTACCAGGTACTCTCCTGTCTCTTCACAAATTCAGGCTAGGACCTTGGCTTGGGAGTGGGCATCCAAATGGCTTTTGGGCTCTGTGATACAGCCCGATGGAACACACTCCATTCTGCCTCTCTACTCTACTGTGGAGGTTCTGACCACAGGAATTCATTGAGTCTTGCATTAGGATCTTCCCAACCTGGAGTCTATGGGTGTGATGTAACAGGAGCATCTGTCTTTGGGAAGTTCCAGAGTAGCTATCTGGAGAAGAGGGAGCCCACTCTTGTCCCACTCAAATTATATGGGTACAATGTTCCTGAAGAGAGTGTGCATGCAGAATGGGGGTAGGCCAAGTGGCTTCCAGTGCCTCTTTTAATCCACAGAATCCAGTGTGGTTTGCCTATTGCCCATGTCAGCCTTTGGACCATGTGAGATCCTTTATGATTTCAGTGTTGGGCTGACTGGATCTTCCACCCCGCCTTCCTCACCAGCCTAGACCACCATTGTCCCACTCACTTCTGATTCGTGCCTCACTCACTTCCCTGGGGGGCTCTGATGTGACCCACCATCCCTCAAGACCACGTGGTAGAATTAAACCTTTGCACATTACCAACCTGGTTACATGTTAAGTATATATTATATGAGGGTGGGATAGGCTTCTTTCTATGAGGTCTCAGAGCAGTGCCTGTCACCTGGAAAACATGAGATGATGTTGCCTATTTTCAGGATCATTATTACTTGTATGCCTCTGTCTTGTTATTACTATACTGTCCTCTATTTATGGATCACCAGTCGTGTGCTGACAGACACGGTGCTCAACACTACCATTGAGTCATCTCATTACTATTCCTACTTCTGCAATAGGGACACTGAACTCAAAAGAGAATTCAAGATGGGCTGGGGCCAGCTGGTTCCCCAGCCTGAGCTGGCCAAGGCTCTGTCCTGCTTGAGCCTCACAAGTCTTGAGTGAAGCTGCTTCTTGTAGGGAGTTTGTCTGTCCTGGGGGGGCAAGGGGTTCTGCCGGGGTTGGTCTGGGGTCTCACTGAATCTCATTCCCTTAAGGAGATTAGTGATTGTTCCCTGTGGGGGGATCATTAATTCAGACTCCATCCTTTCTTTCTTTTCTAGTGAAAAGCAAACCTAAAACTACAGAACATGAAGTCCATAAAAGTTCCATGTTTTAGCCTGGGAGCTGAGTAGCTCAGAGGTCTGACTTCAGGGTAGCTGAGGCCCAAGCTGGCCCTGCCGTCAGCAGACAGGACCATGTAGGAGTTATGAAAACTATGTCTCACAAGGCGCCCAAAGGCATTTTCTTTCACACTTTGAAAACCAAAGATGAAAACTCTCCCTTGGAGCCTGAGTGGGTTTTTTATTGCTTGGAAGAAGTCCCAGGGAAATGAGGTGGGACTAGGGAGGGGGTGATCCCCTTCAAGTACCCCCACCTGCCTCGGAGCCCATTCTGCTCACAAAGTCAGTCCCCAGTCCAGGTCCCCACCCCCTCCTGGGCTCATGCTGGGGAAAATTGTCTCATGGCAAAGCAGCCTCCAGGCCAAACTAAACACTCTGAGTGTTCCCAGGCTCTGCAGATGGCTGGCACCAAGGGGCCAAGACTGCTTGGAGCCGACAGGGCCTCTGACTGGGTGGAAGGCGGACGCCCCATGCTGACCTGGGGTGCATCCCTGGCTTGCTCTGTGGCTATGGGCAAGCATTGTCCTCCAGTCCTATTTCTCCATTCCTACAAGAAAGGAGCAAGAACAGACACAGGACTTTCAACTGTTTCTAGCAGCTAAAAGCCCAAAGACCTAAGGCAAAAAAAAAAAAAAAAGCCCAAAGGGAAGCAAAAAGAAGCAAAGCCAGTGCCAGAGGCTGTGTTGGCTGCCTGCCCTGGAGCAAGGGTGAACCAGGCTCTGGGCATACTCGTCTTGGCATTCTTGTCCATACAGTGGGCTAGTACCTGTGTCTGGGGGTGCGATGGAGGAGGTTCCTCCATTTTTGGTTGTCATATTTTGCAAACCCTGTGGAGCCCAAGTGGTATTTTATTGTTTCTAAGTCATTCCAGTGAAATGAAGTGCAACTAGAGAGAAGGATGAGCTTTCAGATACCATCTTGGAAACCTTTGAAGAGATGCAGGAAATAGGGACACAGGGCCTCCCCTTGCCTTGAAGTGGAACCTTCCATGTGATTAGACCAGAGGAGACCCCGATGTGATTCCTGACTGGACTTTAGCCTCTCTGGGTCAAGGATGTCAGAACCAGGCCAGCATAGGAAGCCTGTCTGCAGCTTGACTTCCTGGGACCTCGGATCTGCCAGCCTTGAGACCTCATCCCTCATGGTCTCCTGCCATGGGAATGCCTTTCCTCCTATAGGCAAGCTTCTGCCATGTTTCCTTTAGAGGGGACCAGAGGTGGAAAAACCTGTCCATCCCTGGGACAGAAAACTAGACCCAGAAAGAAGATGAGAATTGCTAGGAGTTCACAGGAGCTGATGTTTTAGGGTTCTTTCAGTGGAAAGATCTGGAAAGCCATCTATCCCTTTTCTACATCAACACTCACCACAGAGATTAGCGACTAGTACCTGCCCAAGGTATCCCTGTTAGGTTGGGAGTGAGTTCACAGTCTCCATCTAATGGCTCACTTAAGGCTTTAAGCCTAAGACATACTAAAGGACCTTGAGCAGCAGCCACCTGCTGGGGAGAGGGAGGGCATGGTTTCCCAGGCTAGTGACTGTGGAAGTCTAAGCCTCAAAGCTCAATGTTAGTGAAGACAGCTGTTACAGTGTCACTGCTGGGCTGATGCCAGCTTCCTGCTTTACAGGTATCAATCATCTCACTTAGTCTTAGCTCCAAAGCAAGTACAAGGAAGGGCAGGGATGTGAACCCTATTCTGCCCAAATTTGTCTATGCTTTTATTCAGTGGATGGTTTTGCTTCCAATTACCCATGGAGCATCTCCTACCTCTAATTAAATGGGATCTCACCATCACCTGAAGACTCGGGCCACCCTGGACCCATCCTAGGAGAAAGTATAATTGTATTTGGAGGAATTGGAATTAGAGAATTTAGACTGCAAGGGCAGATCAGCAGGAGCTGTGGCAAGCCTGCCAAAGGGAAGGAACATTTTTCTCCTCTTTGAGGGTTTTTGCCATGTGCTCAAACCTCAAGGCAAACCGAAGCCTAGAAGGCAATGATCAGAAGCATGTAGCCTCTGTACCTACCTGGTGGCCTTCCCCAGGGCTCGGAGCCTTGCTTTGGCCTATGACCAGCACTCTCTTCCCTACCACTGTGGGTGCTTCCAGTTGGGATGGACCACCACCCTGCCCCCTTATTTATGCAACTGCATTTCCAACACCACACACACACACACACACACACACACACACACACACACACACACACACACACATACACACACATACGCACACGTACACACACATACACACACATGCACACACTCCTGTGTGCTTACAGACTTGTGGACTCACAGAACAAGAGCTAGCATGCCCTTTAGACAAGGCCCTAAATGCAAAACACACACACACACACACACACACACACACACACACACACACACACACTCTGAAGGATTGCCACCAGGCCCACTTTCTGTGGAAAGGCCCCCTTCCCTAACCCCTCCCTCTGCCCTGCTCTGGCTTTCAGAACTTGGGAGGGGGATTCTGGAGAATGCTCTGCGGCTGTGCAGCCATCTGTGGACACACGCTCGGCCTTTTCTACAGGTCTCTATAAATCATTCTGCCACGGGCTGCTGCTTCTCTAAACTTCCTCTGCTCTGTTTATATCTTGGGTAATGAGGGGCCAGGGGAGGCCCGCCTGTTCCAGGTGGTGTCCCTGCCAGGAGCTTGCAGCCTACATCTCTGGTGCACTCCCTCCTCCTCATGCTCATATGTGCAGTCAACAACCGTTCGGCAGGGTCTGGGTGACTGCCCTGTGGATGATGGTGCCAGGATAGGGAATGCAGAGAGAGGAGGAAGGAGGAAGGGAGCCCTGTCAGGTGAGGTGGAAAGGGCACAGTTAACATAGCTGGGGACACATATGACCCTAAGTTTTAGACCAGGATGAGGGCTCTGACTCGCTACCACTCTCTGTGTGTCCTTTGCAAGTTGCTTGGTCTGGATGGGTCTGTTACCTTGCACATAGAAGAAGCCTGCCTTCTGTGACTCTTGGTAGGACCTGGATGTGAAGAATGACAGAGTCTGGAATAGAGCAGGAGCTCAAAAAAGACCTACCTGTAGCCCTGCTTGAGCAGAGAGAAGCAAGTCCAGAGCAATGGAGGGATCAACGTATGGCTGGTCCCGCCAGCACATACACTGGTGAAGATTCAAAGGAAAGAGGCAGGAAATGAAGTAAGGGTCCTGTGTATGGGCAAATTTTCTGGTGGTGGAGGGGGGAAAATGCAGGATCTCAAGCTGAACATCAACAAGACTCCAGTCAGGATCCTGCTGTAGTATCACAGGCAAAAGTGGAATAGGGAGAAGTAGAAGAGAGACAGGGAGGGGAAGGAAATGAAGAAAATGGAATGAACTGAAGGATAATGGTTTATTTGAAGGGCTGAGATGGGCGCCAGGTTGTCCTAAAAGATCTTTCCTTGGTTCCCTCTTAGAAAATTGGAGCTGAGTGAGGCTGGCTCATGCCTATAATCCTAGCTACTCAGGTGACTAAGATCTGAGGATCGTGGTTCAACACCAACCCCAGTGGAAAAGTCTGTAAGACTTATCTCTAATTAATCACCAAAATGGTTCAAGAGCTAACACCAGCCTTGAGTGAGAAAGCTAAGGGACAGTGCCCAGGCCCTGAGTTCAAGCCCCAGGACTGGCACAAAACAAACCAAACAAAAAGGAGATCTGGGGACTTTAGGAGGGTGGAGTGAACCCCCAGAAGTATTGGAGCCTGTATCCTGGGCAGCTTGGGGGGGGGGAACAGGGCCTGCTTCCCTTAAAATCAGCAGGAAACTTGACAAACAGGCTGCTCTTTGGGGGGAAAATTCCTTCTTTAACCTGACCCAAGGGAAGAAAGTCAGCCAAGCACTATTTACCTGTTGGGATGGAGAAGGGGCTCCCTTCTCACCAAAGAAAAGCGGTTTTCTTCTCCTGAAACCAGGCCCTGTGTTTCAGATCCACGTGTTGTGGAAAGGAAACCATTTGGAGTCATTTGCCTACATTTACCTTTCAGACATGTTTAGTTGCTGAGAGCTTGTTGCTGGAGCTGACAGCCCAGCCCTCTGTCATTCCATGGTTTGGACCCACCGCTGGCTGGGTCTCCTGGTCACTTTGGCAAATAGACCAAGGCTCTGAGTGACCAGCCTAATCATTATAGCTCTTAATGCACTGCCAGCAGCTTGTCTTGCCTGAGTCTGGCTGGCGGCTAGCAGGTCCTGCTCACGGCTGAAAGAAGTGACTTTTTCTGTAACTCTATGCTCTCACTCTTGGTTAGAAGGAGACAACCCATGCTGCTGCCTGACCCAAATGTGTCTCAGCCAATACAACCACAGCGATGGCTCCATCATAGCAGCGCCTCTGCTATGGGCAGGCAGGGCTGGCCAGGGCTCTGCAGAAATGTATTTTCCAGGCTCTTTGAAACCAACACCCAAAGGCTCAATTGCCTCAACTCTTATTTGCTGGAAGTCCTTTTAAGACAGGATACACCCTGTCCTTTATGATTAGGGGACTGGATTACCCCAACTTTTTGTCACTGGCTCAGTGGCCTGGCTGCAAGGGAACCAGGGAGTGGAAAATGAAGGCAGCCCCTGGTTCTTTGTGTTGCCATGGACAGGTGCTTCAGCTCCAGGCCTCAGCTGGTATCAGTAAGTGTAGAGTGGAGCCTCCTAACGCTTCTCAGAAGAGTGTGCATTTGCAAGACTCCTTGGCACTTGCCTACAGAGGAGTTGGGAGATTGGCTTATTTATGCTTTTCTCAAGGCTGGCACTTGAGCTGTATCTCCACTTCTAGCATTTTTACTGGTTAGTTAGTGCTGAAAAATCTCACGGATTTCTCTGTCTGGGCTGGTTTTGAACCACAATCCTCAAATTACAGCCTCCTAGGTAGCCAGGATTATAGGCATGCGCTATTAGTGTCTGGATGGATTTGCTTTTAACGCAAGGTGATTCTGTTGAAGTTACTAAGAAAAATTGGAGGTGCTATCTTATTTTTTCTCACTGCTGGGGCTTGAACTCAGGGGCCTGTCACACACTTGGCTTGCCTGCTTGGCTAGCACTCTACCACTTGGGGCATTCCTTCAGCCCTACTCTTGCTGGTTAACTGGAGATGGAGTTTCTTGGACCTTTTTACTCTAGCTGGCTTTAATCATGATCCACTAGGTCTCAGCATCCTGAGTGGCTAGATTATAGACAGGCATGAGCAGTCACTGCTCCTAGCTTCCCAAGGAGATTTTGATGGCCGTTTTTGACTAAGAAAATGGGATATCATCATCATCTCATTAGAGATGTGTAAAAGAGATTCAACTGGAGAATCTAGCAGTGAATAAATTCTGCTGTGAAGGGCTGGGCTTCCACAGTGAGCAGGATTCAGCCCCTCCCTAGGACATTGCCAGTGCTCTGAAAACAACTCAGAGGTTCTCACCACACAGGGAGAGGAACTACAGGCAGAGGATGGCAGGCAGCTAGCTGGAGCATTGGGGATGGACAGGCTGAGGGGGATGTTGGTGGCAGGAAGAACACAGAAAGATGGAGGGAGTCTCAGAACATGAGGGTGACTTCTGCACCTGCCTGTTTACAACAAGCTTTGCCATAAACACTCTAGATGAAGCCCTGGCATCAGCTACCACATGCTTGAACGCTCTCTCGAAGTGGGGTGCCTTTCTGAGTCCCCTAGCAAGGGCATTTAGGTTTACACCTTGGAGACAAAGGGGGAGCAAAACTTTTAGTAGAGTGGCTTGTTCTATCATTCTGAGACAGGGTCTCACTATGTATCCTAGGCTAGCTTTGTACTAGCAGTCTTTGTGCCCTCAGCTTCCCAAGTGCTGGGATTACAAGTGTGTACACTATGCTCAGCTAAGCTGTTTCTTTTAAAAGTATAGAGAAAGGTATTTGCTCTTGTTTTGGGTATAAACCTGCCAAGTCAGATGTAAATGTGCTCTAAAAACCCTGAAAGGTAACCACTGGAATTCCCCATGAATAGAGAAGAGGCAATTCAGAAGAGTTTCCTCTGATATCCCTCTCCCTCCCCACTTTGCTCAGATTAGGTCCCAATTGGTAACAGTGCATCTAGACCTGGGGACAGCCCACCCACTTCCTGCTCCCCCCCTCACCTGTCCTCGATGCGGACCCAGAGGTCATTGAACTGCCGTGGCCGCTGGTGCTTGTTCTGCCTCTTATGCCATTTCTTCTGCCGTCCAAACTCCTCCAGCTGGCTGAGGCTGTCTGGGAGCAGGAGGTGTGGGGAGAGCGCTGGGTCCTCCTCCTCAGGTGGGGCCGTGGGGGTCACGGATGGGGCTGTGGGGATGGCGGCTAGGGTGGCTGGGGCTGGGCTGGTAGAGGTCCCCTCAGGAAGCGGTGCTGGGCTTCCGGCAGCAGGGCTGGAAAGGGAGCCAGCACATGAGTGTGTTATGGGTGTATGATGGGGAAGGCAATTCATCATACCAGGCTGCCTTGATGGGCTAGGGGGAAGGATCTAAGAAAATCACTTGCCTGGTACTTGGTCTATAAATATTTCTTCAACACCTGGAACTTTTCTAGGAATTGACTCTAACCGATAGCATCCGTGTCCTCTCAGAACTTGACTTAGTGGGGAGTGGAAGGCCAAATATCAAGTGGTCATGCCACCAGGCAGAACAGTAATCAGAGATAGGTGTGAGAGTGTGGGGGCAAAAGGGCTGGTTAGCAAAGGTGGTCTGACATCAGCAGGAGCTAAGAGTCAAAAGATTGTGAGAGGTCTTGGGTATATCTGTTCTTGGCCAGGATCTCATTCATCCACACTGACTGAAGGACTCTAGGTAATGTGTCAAACTTCACTTGCTCCCTGGTGACCTGCTCTGTAAAACAGCCAGTACCCCTCACAGGGACAACATGAGGATGATACATTCACCTCATCTGAATAGAGACCAGGTGCTCAGAGCAGTCCTGGCAATAGTAGTAAGCGGCCCAATTCAGTAGTTCATAGTATTCACATTGCTTGGGTTATTTTTAATGCATCCATCCATTTGTGGGTGTCAGTGCATGTGTACTGTGTCCCTTTGTGGTGGAGGCAGGCCAAGGCTAGGCCATTAGGGATGAAGCTGGAGGCAGATAGACATAGGCTTACATCCCACTGTTCAGCTCTCAGACTGCCCTGTTTGACTAGGAGAGTCATCAGAATGACAGATCAGTCATTTCATGAAGATGTAAAAGAGGAATGCTACCTACTTCAAAGTGGGGGTCATAGGGATGAATGTGGTGAAGGTCTACACACTGGCACCTACCAAGCCTCTCTCTGATGATGGCCCCTAAGCAAAAGAACCTAGCTGTCAGATAGGTACTGAGGTGTCACGTAGGTGTGTCTGAGGAATTCATGTTCCATACAGGAGTATACATGTATGCCTCATCCTGGGACCACCCCTTGTATTCTTTTCTGTCCATAGCCCCAATTCCTGTGGGGACATCTGACCCTGGAGTAAGGTTGGGAGTAGTTTGAGGAAATATGTCTGAGACGGCAGTTGGCTGGCAAAGGAAGGTGGTACCCAGGACTGAAAAAGCAGCCTTGGTGGGTGAGAGGCTTCTCTCTTTTTAAAGGAAAAAAAATTCCTTCGGCTCAGTTTATCTTCTTCCCGGCACCCTCCCAACCACTCCCCCCCGCCCTCCCCCACGACCCTAGATTCCCAGGGCCCAAGCTGTCGAGATGCCGCAGCTGTTGGGAAGATAATTCAAAACAGTCAGACAAAAAGATAGATCCAGGAAGCACCTGTGGCCGAGGATGGCTTTTATTGTTGGAGCTTCCTCAGCATCCCCACCCCCTCTGCCCTACCAGTTCCTTTGCTCCTCTGTACAGAAGACTAATGCTGAGAGCTGTTGCCACAGCAGAGACTCTCTCTGTGTGTGTGTGTGTGTGTGTGTGTGTGTGTGTGTGTGTGTGTGTGTGTGTGTGAGAGAGAGAGAGAGAGAGAGAGAGAGAGAGAGAGAGAGAGAGAGAGAATGAGAGGAGTTCTCTAATGTCTGGGCTCTGAGATAAATAGGATGCTCATCAGTCATAGGCCTGCCTGCCTGCCTGACCTGGTGGGCCACACACAATGAGCTTCAAGGGAAAGGTCCTTGGGATGCAAGGGCAGGGGCAGGGCAGGAGGAGAGGAGAAACTTGGGGGATGCCTTGACCCTGAAGCTATCTTTCATCCCCTACTCCTCAAACACTCCTACACCTGCTGCCTCCTCCCTATACAAACTGCTTTGTGTTGAGCTCAAATGGTTGAGGCAGGAAAAGCAGTCTTTTAGGTCCACTCAGAAGAGGTGGAAGTCTGGGATGGAATCTGCTATGGTTTGTACATTTCTCTAGAAGTGCTTTGGGCCAGGGGAGCCTAGGCCTGGGGCTGTGAGGCCAAAGGTTCATCCTCTGGGTGACCCCACCAAGCCTCAAGGCCTCAGTCATTTCTGAGTGTCTGCTGTCATTCCCAAAGTGGGTACAAGGAGGTGATAAGGAGCCCAGGAGAGGTATCAGAATGCGACTGTCACTTCAGCTGCATGTCCTCCTGCAAGTGGCTTAACTCATGGAATCAGGTTCCTCAGTTATAAGGCAGGGACACTACTCACAGTTCCTGCCTTGCCAAATTGTTTGAGACTTGGTAGTGCTTAGTGTCCAGCACAGAGTCAGCAGCTAATGGTTATTGGCTATAATTAATCAAGCTCCATTCACACTTTGGGACTTATAACCTCAAGATTGGCTGAAATTCTGATGAGACTCTGTGTGTGTGTGTGTGTGTGTGTGTGTGTGTGTGTATGGATGTGCGTGCGTGCGCACACGTGCCAGTTTTGGGGCTTGAACTTAGAGCCTGGGGGCCCTGTCTGGGCACTGTCTCTTAGCTTCTTTAGTGATGGTTGGTGCTCTACCACTAGAGATACAGCTCCACTGTGGTTTTTTGGTGATTAATTGGAAAGAAGGGTCTCACAGACTTTCCTGCCTGGGCTAGCTTTGAGCTGCAATCCTCAGATCCCAGTCTCCTGAGTATCTAAATACAGGCATGAGCCACTGGTGCCCAGCTCATGTGGGACCATCTTTGTGGGTTAATAAAGAAGTGTCCAGCATAAAAGGCTTCAGCATGGGCTGCACTGAATTCCTGAGTCTGAAGGTCCTGTCTCTTGCCTGGTGCTGATGGGGATGGTGTGAACCAATTGGTTCTTGCCCTTGGGAAGCTTCCAGACTAAGTATGGGTAAGGGGGTCAAGGGTGGGGGGAAGTACCAAAGGAAGAGGGGATAGAGAGCTGGGTGCTAGTGACCCACACCTGTAATCCCAGCTACTCAGGAGGCTGAGAGCTGAGGATTGTGGTTCAAAGCTAGTCTAAGAAAGTCCATGAGACTCCTATCTCCAATTAACCACCAGAAAACTGGGACTGGCACTGTGGCTCAAAGTGATAGAGTGCTATCCTTGAGTAAAAGAGCTTAGGCCCGAGTTCAAGCCTCATGATTGACAAAAAAAAAGAGGGGCTAGGGGTTGTGTTTTTGTGAGCAGAGTGGGTGTGCCCTGGCAGGAAAGTCAGGGGGTGAGGGGCACAATCAGAGGCAGCAATGGAGCAGATATAGGCAGAAAGGAGTGGATGGGGGAAGCAGTGCTACCAGACAGTGTGATGGACACAGGGATGAGGCCAGACCACAGTTTATCTTCTCCTGGTGTCATTTAGATTCAGGGCCTGGTCATTTCTCATGTGTTCATGTCATTTATACTTCCTACTCAATAAAATAGTCTCAAGCTTCTAACAAGTCCTAATACTCCTCCCATTCCTACTGCCCCATCTAGCTGGCCATGACATTGGCCCATCACAATTGCATACCAGTCCCCTTCCTGCTCTTCCACCTCTTGTTCCCTCCAGTTGTAGGTACCTGGCTAAGCCAGGAGGTCCTGTCTCATCACAGACTTCACAATGCCACCCAGAAGGACAGCAGGGAGGGTTGGCTACATAAGATATGGTCAGGCATGGCCCATACATGGTCAGAAGCAGGCCAGCTAGACCCAAGATGCCCCCAGAGGCTCTGTTGCTTACCTGTGGATGGCTTGCCCGGCAGGTGTGTGGTCCACTTCTAGCCCTGCCTGCCGAAGGACATCAATAACTGTGTTGTTTCCAAGAAAGTGACCTGGAATGTAAGACACAAAGCCATCTCAGCAACATGCCAGGTTACCACCCAGTGGAGAGTTCCTCAGGCCATCCCTTGGCTTGTGTCTGGGCAAGCAAGCTATACCAATGGAAGGCCTCATACTCTAAAGCAGCATGGCTCAGAGGGTAAGACATAGTCCTAGCTTGATCCTGGCTTTTCTGCTCACAAGTGGTACCTCCCAGTGGCTCAGTTCCCTCATCTGTAAAGTGGGAATGATTATAATCACCATCTACATGGTTGTTATGAGAATCACAGAGAACAGTGGCTAACACGTGGTAAGGGCTCCCAAATGTTTTCCTATTGCCCTATGGAGCCCTGAATTGCATCTGGCAGTTATACAAGGCTCAGTTTTGAGAAACTCTTCGGCCTCAGCAGGAATAGGGCTCATCTTACTATCAGCAATTTATGCTTTTCTTCCTCAGCATGCAAGTGGGCTTCTATGTGTCTCCTCAATGGGCCTCCAGAGGGCAAAGATCATGTCGCCAGAGCCTTGCACAAGCCCTGCATGTGTTGGCTAGATCCAAGCATTCATGGATTCATTTCTTCATCATCCATTCAACACTTATAGAACACATGTGATAGTTCTGGTCCTGTGACAGCCACTGAGCATGCACTGAAGTATAAGACCAAGAAAATCCTACTGAATGTGGGGTAGAGTTGACACTGACAGAGGCCGAGAGGAGGCACCAACAGAATGACCCACTAAGATGTGGAGAGGGGACTGGTCTCCACTGCTCCCTCTATTCATTCACTCAGTCACTGCTTTGTGGTCAGCTCCATGCTAGGCAATATGAACATAGGAATGGTCAATTTAGTCCAAAACTCAAGAAGAGATTAAAATGGCCTTTTTCCATCAAGATACAGGCATGAAATCTGAACTCTGAGAACTCAAGGAATTCTTCTCCAGGCTCTGGTTAAAAAGAATCTTCAGAAAGCCAAGTGATTATGGGCACAGGTGTTGCTGGAATCAGCGCTCTGGGACCGACTCCCTGCCTCTTAGATTCAGTCTCACCACCCATTCAATATGAGCTGAGTGGAGTTGTTTGGGTACTTGCCTAGGCTCTGGAGCCCTTCCCATTGTGAGTCTGCCTGGGGACCCCACTTGCCTAGGTAACACCCTCTCCTCTTGTTTACCCTTTGTCCCAGAACCTGGAGGAAGGGAGGTCAGTGCTCGGTGACTCTGATTGCCTGTGATAGGTGGTGACAGGTGAGATCGGGAGGGTCAGCTTGCTGACAGCCCCAGGGAGGCAGAGGAAAACAGAGAGAGGACAAGCTGGCAGGCTCCCGGCACAGAGGCAGCCTGGCTGAGCTCACACAGGGGCTGGAGCAGAGAGGCCCACACTCAGTGTTCTGGCCTGCCAGACCATACAGCAACCCCAGCCCACCCATGGCCATCTGGCTGGCTTGACACAGTCTCTGTAGTTCATCTGGGGATCACAAAGAATGCCAGAGGGCTTCTGGTCTGCTGGCATTTGCTACTCTGAGAGTATGGTTATACCCAGTACCTTCCATGCAGAGAGTGGGGGTGGGGTGAGGGTTGGGGGACATCAATGTGCTCCTCTAGCTCTGTTGATAGGGGCACTTGTTCTTTGACTCAAGATCCTTATGGAAAACTGCATTTCCCTCCCTACCTTTCCCTACCTATTCACTTATGCCATTGATTTAGCCAGTGCTGACTGGCTGCATGTTATACTGCACAGTGGTGAACAGGCAGAAGCCTGTTCCAGCCTTCTCAGTCTCCAGACTCTCATTTTTGGGATCCAAGCACTATGTTGATGCAGGGGATTATGCTGGCACCCCAGGAAGCCAAGTCAGTCTGGGATATGACAGACTTCCAGGAGGAGGTTAGCTTGGTGAAGGATGGAAGGGTAGGCCCTAAAGGTACCCCATATAAGAGAAAACAGTATGTTCTAGTAAGGGACTGGGCATGCATGGGAAGCTGGTTGCAAAAGAGAAGTACTGTACAGGCATGAACACAGCCAACCAGATTTCTGGCCCTGATCTGCTGCGGAGGATATAAGACTTCATTTGCCAGGCTAGTCAGTGGCTTTTCTGCCACCAGTGTCCATTTTCCAATATGGCAAACAGCCCAAAAATCTTTTGGCCAGTTTCTTGGATAGCTGCAAAACCAAATGAGAAGGAAAGATCAAAGGTCCTTTGGAGAACCCAGCATCCATCCTGAGTGATAAGCTAAAGATAGTCCTTAGATGGGTTGGAGTCATCCCCACTCTTGATTGGCCCCTAGTACTACTGAGCTGAAAGAAAGCAAGGATTGGTAGACTCTAGCACTCGTGCATCAAGACTCTCTGCCAGCAGGACCTGGGCTCTACTCCTGGCCCCACAGTAAATAATCTTCTTTCTGCAGGGAGACTTAGGTTTAAAAATGAGGCCCTCATGGCCCAACTATGGTCCTTACATCTATCCAGTATCTGGAGAGCTGCAGCAAAAGCAGAAAATAGTGGACTACATGAGAACAGCAGCAAATACCCACTGAAGCCATGAGTCTGGGCTGACAAAGACATACAGAGAGTCCCAGTGTGGGGCACAACCCCACGTGACTCTGATGGTGTGGGCCTCATGGGAAACAACTGGATCCTGAGTGCCAAGTGGCAGAGTCTCCTATGTCTGTTTGGTGATTCCATCCATTCCCTCAAACTCAAGAGCTCCAGATCTCCACTAGGACTCTGAACAAGACTAGAGATGCTTGGAGAAACTGGAAGGAATCAGAGACAGTCCTTTTAAATTCACATTCTTACTTCCACTGAGATTCATCACCCTTCTTCCTTTCATCTTCCCTTCTGGTAGGGGAGAATGGTGTCCCCATCTGGGATCCCCTGCTCCCTGCACAACCATAGGAGGTGCTGCCCAGCCTGTGTTCCCACCACCTGCTATTTCTGGGGCCTGGTCTCACAAGATCCATGGCAGGGCTGGTGAGACCTGAAACTCCGTGTACCCATACCCATTCTGCCCTGTAGCTTTTCACAAGCCCACACTACTCCAGCTGTACACCTAGTAGGCTCCTTTCTCCTTCCCAATATACATGGGAATCCTTGGGAATCTATCCTTGGCCTCTTTCCTTTTCACTCTGCTCCTACTCCAGGCACACAGCATTTACTCTGGTGGGCCAATGACCACACACACTGACATCTCTGGAACTGCCACTGTAGCCTAGACACATTTGCCCAATTGCCTGCACAGCTTCACCCAATATCCCACAACACAAGCTCTGTATGCTGTCTCTCCACGCTGGTCCTTTAGCTTCAGTGGGTACTGCTATCCAGGTCATACTGGCCTGGACAGAGTCTTCTTCCTCCTCATCTTCCCACAGTCATCAGAGACATGGATGTCATATCCTAAACATGGCTGATTTCCCACCCATACCTACTTGCTGCCAGACAGCAGAAACCATCCTGTTTTCTACTTCCTTCTCCTTACCACAGCTAAACTGAGCTGCCCACATCCCAGAACGGACTCTGCTGGATCCTGCTACCAATAAAGCCACCTGAGGGAGGAGCCTTACAGGGACAGAGCCATGGCTGATTCATCTTTGTCCCCAGAGCTAAACTCGTTTGGCGCACCATGGTGGCTCCATGAATGTTTGTTGAATGAATGAGTGACAAAGCCTATTACTCCACATACTTTCCATGATCTCATCCTAACCCTAGGAGGCCTGAGTTACCATTCTCTAGTCCCCCCTCCCCCTTAGCCCAGCTATGCCCCTTGGTGATATACCCCCAGGTTTTCTCAATTGCAGGAGCTTGGCCCTTGTGCTGGCTTGAGACATGGTCCTGCACATGCTTTCCCTAGGGGCTCACAGACAGAGCGTGGGCTTGCCTTCACGGTCAGAAATCCTGAAAAAGGTACCACTCCCTTCCTGGAACCTGCAGGGAAGGTGGTGGAAAGTTTCCAAAGGGGCCCCACAGTGTTGGGGCTCAGCCTGTCAGGCTTGCCCAGGCTCCCTGGGTCTCCTGGCCACTGCTCAGAGGCTCCCTCCAATCCTAGCTTCCAGCTGTTCCCGAGCCAGCTCTTTGCAGGAAGACATGTTCCATCTCATCTGCTGAAGCCTCGAGGAAGAATGGAGAAGGAAAGAGAGGGAGGGTCATGAGGGTGGGAGGAAGTTGGGGGGACACTCCCAGATATCAGGACAGAAAGGGAGAAGAGAGCAGCAGTTAGAGAAGGTTCACAGAAGAGGAAGAGAGCCCCTGGGGAAGGACCTGGGAAGCAGAAGAACAAACAAGACAGAGGTGAGAGACAGGCAGTAAGATAATGGTAGGCAGAAAAGTAAAAGGAGAGATACCAAGACAGACAGAAAAAGAGAAAGATGAAGACAGGACAAGAAAATGTGAAGTCAATGAAGAAAACCTTCTCTGAAGAAGAAATATGAATGGCCAAGAGACACATGAAGAAATGCTCAAGTTCTCTAGCCGTAAGAGAAATGCAAATCAAAACAACATTGAGATTCTACCTCACCCCAGTTAGAATGGCTATAATCAAGGAATCTAATAACATTTAAATAATGCCAGGGGAGATGTAGCCAAAAGGGAACCTTACCTGCATTGTTGGTGGGAGTGTAAACTTGTTCAACCACTTTAGAAAGCAGTATGGAGGTTCCTCAAAAGACTCCACATAGAGTTCTCCCCTATGACCCAGCAATCCCACTTGTGGGCATTTACCCAACAGATCATAAACAAGGCTATACTAAAGCTACCAGCACAACTGTGTTTATCACAGCATTATTTGCTATAGCTAAGATATGGAACCAACCCAGATGTCTCTCAGTAGATGGATGGGTCAAGAAAATGTCACACACACACACACACACACACACACACACACACACACACACACACACACACACACAAAATGGAATTCTTTTTTTTTTTTTGTCGGTCGTGGGGCTTGAACTCTAGGCTTCAGCGCTGTCCCTCAGCTCTTCAGCTCAAGGCTAGTGCTCTACCATTTGAGCTACAGCGCCACTT